ACATTGATTTATCCGCTGCATTAAAAAGTTTTAGCAGCACATTGATTTATCCGCTGCGTTAAAAAAGTTTTAGCAGCACATTGATTTATTCGCTGTGTTAAAAAGGTTTAACAGTATATTGATTTATCCACTGCATTAAATAGTTTTAGCGGGATGTTATTGATTTATCTACTGCATTAAATAGTTTTAGTAGGATGTTATTGATTTATCTACTGCATTAAATAGTTTTAGTAGGATGTTATTGATTTATCTACTGCATTAAATAGTTTTAGCGGGATGTTATTGATTTATCTACTGCATTAAATAGTTTTAGCGGGATGTTATTGATTTATCTACTGCATTAAATAGTTTTAGTAGAATGTTATTGATTTATCTACTGCATTAAATAGTTTTAGCAGGATGTTATTGATTTTCTTAGGTAGTTGACTTACTGAATGATCTTTACACCTGTTTTGATTCCATAATTGAAAACTTTGACGTCTACAAGGTAAAAAGTTTTATTTTTTGTCATTGTTGTTTTCATCAGTGCGTTATTATTTAAAATAAATGTTTATAAATTTTCCTTCCAGTTCCATAAATTATAATGAATTATATTTTCTTATATCTTTTTAAAGATGAAATAAAATCAAATTACTTAATTCATCTTATATTTTAATAAATGTTGGAAATCTTGCGGACAAGATAATTATTCTAGGATATTTCCATTAAATTTTAAGCATTTTATTGAACTGCAAAAGGAAAAAAAAAATGCTCGATTTTAAAACACTTCATTAAAATGGTTGGTTCAAAATACGCTTGGGAATAAACTGAAAAGCTAATTTATATAGTGATTTACATGTTCACAAAAATAAGTGACAGCGTAAAATGGTAACTATAATTTCCTTTAAATCATTCCAAAGATTCTTGTTTGTGTGCCATGCAGAATATAAGAGCAGAATTAGAGAATCTTAAAATAAAATAAATTACTGTTGAGAAAGAAAATAGTTGCTATTTGATGCCAATTTGGCGAGTTCAGTTTCCTATAAGTGGGAGCAAACACAGAAGCTGTTAATTTCTGCTTTTACTCATGTTTATTTTTCATTTATGTTCCAGAGAGAAAATATTTTCCCCCAATGTGAACAGAACCGATATAATTGAGTCAATTTTCTTAATACTATTACCCTTATTTTTCTACGATTCACATTCTTAAATGTTTTATCTTGGTTTGAAAAGGTAGATACAATTACAAAATACCAGTGGTTTAATTAATTGAGCAATGGGATACAACCATCTATGCAAATACTTTAGCGAGAAACCATACGTAACGTGTTTTGCACACGGTTTTTACAAATGTTTGATGTTTGCGACACGAAACTACTTACAGTAAGATGCTTTTGAAGTTTAATAATGCGTCATTGAAGAATAATATATATGTCACGAGGGACATTAAGACCGGCAATTCGCGAATAAATTAATGCTATCATTTTTCAGCTTATCTAAATTCGTAATCAAATGTTTAGTAACGTCTAAGTACCGAAGCAAAAATCCGTTTTTCTTTCGAAGGGAGTGTACTGTTGGTTATACGATTATTGTTATTATTCTTTTAATTAAGAGATGCCGATCTCGTCGAACTGTAAAACGAATAAAGCTACACGAGAAAACTCTAAGATTATATTGAGTTTTTCTTGTAGTTTTTTTTTATCATGCATGTTAGGCAGTTGCTCTCCACGAACTTGGAATACGAGAAACGAAAATCAGAGCACATAATCTAGCGTTTCTACGTTTCTAAAAACCGTCATTTGATTTACTTGTTTACTTTAAAAAAATGGCTTTTTATAAATATATATTTACAAGTCATTTCTTTTTAATGAGGAAGAAAATAATTATATTTTTGCCAATTACAGAAAATATAATTAGTATTAATTATGATTTGAAAATATTGTTGCGTCAGCGAGGTCACGTGACTAGTATCACACCACGTTTTCTAGAAATATCCTGTTCCTTCAAGAATGCCCTAGCATTTACTAGATATGTGTTAGTCTTGTATATATATAAGACGGTCACAACGTGACGGAACAACAGAGGTAATAAGTAATTGAACTGCAGTCAGAGAGTATTGTTGAAGTTGAGCACGTGAGACGTTCGTTGTTATAGCGTTTGTTATAGCGCGACTGTTGAAATTAAGTGTATCGTAAAGTTGTATTCGGAAAGAATAAACCAGTTTTATTAAGAAAGGACTTGTGTCGCTAAAGTTTCGTCGGAACGAAGTTACGGAAAATCAACTAACGACTGGAGGCGTAACAATATTACAGTTTCAAAGAGTCCTGAATCCCTTCCTGCACGTAGAACATGGAAACCACGCATATAATCTTAATCAGAGGTGTCTATAGAACGTTCTTATGACCAAAACAATATTTTCTTTTACCACGTATTCAAATGAATATAATCAAGATCCTCTGTACTTCTGTGGCTAAATATATATGCAGAAAAAGATAAAAAAAAATATGATTTAATATGTTTTCACATTATATTTAATTTCACTCTACTCAGTCATGTGAAAATTATCAAATGTAGTTTCGTAATTTTTGCAGACAGTATTAGGTTGTCATAGTAGGCTATGATCCTCGTAAAGAAATAATGCTTGTGTGTGTTACGGTAGAGTTCGTTAGTGTAATACATTTATTTAAATTAGGTGGAAACTATAGGTGATGCGTACATGGTTGTTTCCGGACTTCCGGTGAGAAATGGCAATCTTCATGGTAGAGAGGTTGCTCGGATGTCGCTAGCCCTACTTAACGCAGTAATGACGTTCAAGATACGTCACAGACCAGGAGAACAACTGAAACTTCGCATTGGTATCCATTCTGGTAACGTGGCTATTTTTTTTTCTTTTGTATTATCATAGTTTTTGTAAGCGTTTATCAAAAATATTAACAATTTTGTTGAATGATTATATTTGATAAGTAATAATAATTCCTGATTATAATTGAATTATACGTGTATTAGGGGTATCCCCACAATTGAAACATCGCATTTCAAAATTTACTAGTTAATAGATGTTAAAGGAAACACACACATATAGTTCTTTAAAATAACACATAGTAATTCGGTTTATACTTCAGAGAACATACATCATTAAAACACTTATAATGTGTATAAGTCTTTTTTTTATTATTTCTTTGAACCTCAATTATGAAATAATCACCCAATAACAATGTTTACACATACGAATCTAATCTAGGTTTCTTTTCTGATAAAAACAGCTGAAATTATACCAATAAAAAAATAATAGATTCTTATTAGGTATCCTGACTGCATAAAATGTTATTCGAACATTTTTGTTGGCTTTTAAAATGTTTGTATAAAACTAGCCTTTTTTTCCCTTATGGAGCCCCCCAGTAACACAGCGGTATGTCTGCGGACTTACAACGCTAGAATCCGGGTTTCGATACCCGTGGTGGGTAGAGCACAGATAGCCCATTGTGTAGCTTTGTGCTTAACTTAAAGCAAACAAACAATCGTTATGGAAAAACAACTGTCACCTACTAGTATTTGGATAAGCCAAACGAAGTGGACTTATATGGACTGAAAGAGTGTATGTTAAGTTTACAACCATCTAAGTAAAGACTGTAGCGAGAAGCCTTCAAAATCATAGATTCAGCGAAAGATGAATGGACGTTAAGGAAGAAGAAAGCACTGCTAATTGTAAATTTAAAACCAAAGCTGAACGACCACTTAATAACACCACTGCATCTCAAACTATGGTAAACTTACCATTCGTTAGATAGCCAAAGCGTGAGAACTTTGAAAGCTTCGTTTAACAATCAAATGTCAATAACTATCTCAAATAAAGCAAAGATAATGTGAGGGATTTCAGCAAAAAACAGTCGAAAAAAACATTTCACATCTCGTATAATTAGATGTGATTATTTCTCTACTAAGGTTTTACTTGACAGAACCAGGCTCGTATTATGTACAGATGTATTTTTTTACCTTTTTCACCTTCGCTGAATAAGATACAGTGGATAAGAGATAGATCGATAAACTTTGATCGTGTTGATTACTATACATCTACAATTATCAAATGAGATGTAAACTTACACTTCCCCACTAATGTGACGAGGACAGCGGTGCAAGGTCGTGTAAAATAAAATAGCTGTTAGTAAACAGGGAACGAATTAGGTACCCGGTTTAACATATTTATTCATTTTTGGAAGCGTAATGATGCATACGTTTGTAGATACTTGAAAACACTGTACTGTTCGTACACCAGGTACTGTAATCAGACATTGCAATTTAACTTTATTCAAGCTCTTTGAGTCAATGATGCTCTTGGTTGGTGGGGATTTCGAAATATTGACAATGATGCTCTTGATTGGTGTGGATTTCAAATATTGACAATGATGCTCTTGGTTGGTGGGGATTTCGAAATATTGACAATGATGCTCTTGATTGGTGGGGATTTCGGAATATTGACAATGATGCTCTTGGTTGGTGGGGATTTCGTAATATTGACAAATGTGTAACCGATAACTCCAAAATTTCCTCATCTTCTCGATATGCTGTTGAGATTATGATAATATGAAGTTGTTGCAAGGAAAACTTAAGTCTGCTTGATGTCGTATGAATGGATATGCTGACTGGCTCATATTGAGTTTAGGTATATTTGATGAATGGGGAGCAACTCTTTAAATCCTCAAACCTCGTTCATCGTCTGCTCGTTTCGAAATAGGAAAATCACTTGAAGGTTAACATTCCCGACTATTATGACGTCACATGAAGGAATGTGTCATTATCTTAGGTTTTAAATTATCGTTTACTATAGCAACGTGGGAATTTGTAAGGAAAGAAATAGAGTCATTGAATCTCGAATTTGAAGGATAGAAAATTTCTTTGTCAAACTTGGGGTTTGAAAATAAATCAGAAATAGACTTGAGAATACGAAATGTGTAGAATCTTTTTTTTTTAAATAATATTGTATTAAAATGATATACTCTAAAAAACATATCTATTGGTTTGTTTGTTTGTAATTAAGCACAAAGCTACACAAAGGGCTATCTGTGCTCTGCCCACCACGGGTATCGAAACCCGGATTCTAACTATCCAAATAAATCTATTGTTTTGAATATTGGAATGTATAATCATAAATTAACCAATTTTCTGTAGCATTTTTGAAACTTTATGTTAGAAATGTTTGTTTTATTTTATCGCAAAGCTACACAATGGATTGCCTGTGTTTTACCAGCTAGGGATCTAACCCTAAATTTTAATGTTATAAGTCCTCATGCTTACTACTAAGCCACCGGAAAGGCCTATGAAATTTTCCTGAAACTATCAGAGATATCAGATTTGGCTGGTATTCATATTGATGTATTGTGTACCAACATTACGTGCTGATGATATATACATGTATATTGATAAATATAACTGTTGACTGTCTAGCTTTGAAAGTGTTAAATGAATAATATTTGGTATAAAAAAACTCAATTGTTTGTTTAACGGGAAAACATACGATGAAATACAAAGAGTTTTGTCACAGATTTTAACTTACCGACAAGTTTAGCCAATCTATTTCTGTGGTTCACGAAAAAAACATTCTAAGAACAGTTCCCTACTAATTTCTAGCCTACTTTAGTTCTTAAACCTTATAATAGTGCTGGTTTTTCTGAAGCTTATCATTCTGATTCAGTAAATACAAGGACAAAACTGAATAAAAGTATACCTTCATCTTTCCATCTGATCTATTTTCAAACGGAACCAGGCATGATCTAGTGGTTAACTTGCTTGGACTATGAATCTATTGATTCACGGTTCACAGTACGCTGTCATGAAAAGGCAACTCTGCACTTTTGGGTCATGGGTTCGCTGTGAGGGTCAAAGTCCACTATTCGGTAAGACAAATGTGGCCCAAGAGTTGGCCCTTCCCGCTAGTCTATAGGTTCAAAATTAGGGACAGTAGATAGCCCTTATGTAACAAAATTAGGGACAGCTTGTTTGTTTGTTTGTAATTATGCACAAAACTACACAACGTGCTATCTGTGCTCTGCCCACCACGAGTATCGAAACCCGGTTTCTAGCGTTGTAGGTCCTCAGACATACCGCTGTGCCACTGGGGGGGGGGGGCAATTAGGAACAGCAGATAGCCCTTTATGTAGCTTTTCGCAAACATTCTGGAACAAACGAGCTGTTTTCAAATCATGAGTCTGTCCGAATAATTTTCTTCCCTTTAAGGACAAAACCCCAAACTCAAACAGAAACGCTCCTTAGGTATGATATTAATAATACAAATTGCTCTAGACTGCAATGTTTTCTTCACAATTCTTTTGGTGAGACCATTGTTGATTTCAACTCAGAGGTGTGAAAAATAGAATTTTAAATATATGTTTATTTCTTGTTGTTCACACGTCACCACATAGTCAAGAAATTCCAGTGAAGTCCCGACCTGTTGGTCTGAGGTTCGTTGTTTCACGCCCAGTTGTCTCTAAAGAATAAGATAAAACTATGCTCTACACTTTGGGGCCGTATGTATGTTTCAAAATGATGGTCAAATCCAACTATTCATTTAGAGTAGTTCAAGAATTGGCGGTAGGTGGTTTTTAACAGCTGCCTTTCCTTTAGTTTATCATTTTATGATTAGGGTGTAGTAGCTTTGCACAAAAACTAAACAAACAAGAACTTTTAATGAACGTGAAATCTTCCTGGTCAACGAGGTGACAGAAAAGACAAATTAATATATTGTAAGGGCTATTTAAACGACTCTGATTTAAAACCCGCAATGAACTCGTTAAGAGGAACGTGAAAAAAAAAGCATTTATAGTCTAAAGTGATTTTTATCACAAATATTTGGCTTATTGATTTCTATTGTTTCGCCATCTTTCGTCGTTTAATACCATAACATTAAATGTTTTGTATTTCGTATAAAATAGCATTTTTGCCACATAAAAACTGCACTCAAAATGCTATTTTTTTTTAAACCACGCCTGTGATTTAAAATCTATAATAATCTAAGATGAATATTGAAAACACATCTACAGTCTAATGTGATTTTTATCCCTAATATTATGCTTATTACTTTTCTTGCTTCGTCATCTCTTGGTGTTTAACACCACGACAGTAGGCTTTGTATTTGGCATTATATCAGTTGTATGTGTAATTACAGTTCTTCTTGCTCTGTCTCCTGGTGGGTCAGCTTACGGATTTACAATGTTAAAATCGGGGATTCGATTCCCCGCGGTGGATACAGTAGGTAGCCCATTGTGTAGCTTTGCGCTAAAACAACAACAACAACAACATTTTGGAACGGTGAAAAAAACTCTTTGAAGTAAATGATTACTCTTCATATTTTAAGTACACTTGAATCGAACATCTTTTAGTCAGCATTTTCAGTTTGTTTGACTATGAAGTGGGAGAAGCAGGAAGGGGGTTCCTATCGACAAAGGTCACATTTGAATGAAATTTATGTCCTGTGTAATGACATAGAGTGTAAATCTCCATTTGAAATATTTTGTACTTTTTTATTAAGGGAAACTGTCGTCGCCCAATTAAACCTGTTGCACCATATGTTGCTTGATTACGTCTCTTATCAGTTAGAAATGTTAATACTTGGGTAAGATTTAGATAAAGAGAATAAAACTTGAGGCCCCTTTTTAACAGCCGTCTAGAGAAACGAATACTGTATGATTTTTTTACATGCTTATTGCAGTAAAAGAATGGATTATAACCGATATTTACCTGATTTTGATTGTCTATCTCTAGAACGCATTTATTTAATTACAATCTGAACTCTGAAGTACGAAGAAATATTAAAATCCCTTGCTTTGCACTTTATTATCCCCCACTAATTTCCTTTTTTTTCTGATTCTATAGCGGAAATAAGTTGTTAAAAAGCCCCAGACTTTAAATCTTCCGAATGGATAGGCAACTGTTAAGTTTGATTTTCTTGGAGTAAAGTGGACCCTTTGGTGGATAGTTTGTTTGTTTGTTTTGAATTTCGCGCAAAGCTACACGAGGGCTATCTGCGCTAGCCGTACAAATATTTGAGATCAAATAGAAAAATAAGTAAGCAAATATGTTTGTTTTGTTTGTCTGTTTGAAGTTAAGCACAAAGCTACACAATGGGCTATCTGTGTCCGCTGTGCCACTGAAGGGCGAACGATTCAGCGTCTTCAAGCGTCTATAAGGTGAAGTATTATCAAATAAGGGTATAACATTCCACCAAAGGGGTCGGCCCGGCATGGCCAGGTGGTTATAGCGCTCGACTCGCAATCTGCGGGTCGTGGGTTCGAATCCCCGTCACACCAAACATGCTCGCCCTTTCAGCCGTGGGGGCGTTATAATGTGACGGTCAATCCCACTATTCGTTGGTAAAAGAGTAGCCCAAGATTTGGCGGTGGGTGGTGATGACTAGCTGCCTTCCCTCTAGTCTTACACTGCTAAACTAGGGTTTTAGTACGATATTAACCAAATATGAACTATAAATCAAATTACAAAACAAATAAATCCTACTATATACGTACGTTCTCCATTAGACTCCATCCGAGATGCGGTATTCACGGTATCACCAAACAAACAGTATCTTGGCATCTTCAATCCCACCACACCTGCTGCACACGGACCTGAATTCAAACATAAATACATCTCAAAACTTATACGGCTGAGAAACTTGAATCCTATCATTGAGAATAAAAATAAACCTTTACGAAAATACACGACCTAGTACTGCCATTTAAAATGCTTGGAAATTAATAAAATGTTCCAATATCTAAACATTACACACGCCTAACCTTCTTTGGTGTAATTTTATGCAGCTTTATTCGTATCTTTTATATCAGGATATAGTTATATCCAAAATATTGCTTCTGCAAACACGCTTATAGCTTTGTGAAGTAGGTCTATTATTACGTTCTATATGTTGCTTTCAGTGTTATAGAATTTTATTTAGGGATAAAAAAAAACGCATTATATATTTTTCTCACACGAGATGGCGCTTAACAAGGCACACTGCACAAAGTGTTCAAGATGTTTGTTTCTTATGTGCTCTAAGAGGTACTTCTTTGTAATGTGATGCCGCTATCGTTTGTAGTTGTATTCGACTACTACAATAGTTAGATATTTGTCAGCTGATTTTTAACAACATAAAACACCCACGTCTGGTTTGATTTGGTTTGAATTTCCCGCAAAGCTATACGAGGGCTACCTGCGCTCGCCGTCTTTAATTTAACAGTGAAAGACTAGAGGGAAGACAGCTGGTCATCATCACCCACCGCCAACTCTGGGTTACTCTTTTACCAACGAATAGCGAGATTGACCGTCACATTATAATGCCCCCCACGGCTGAAAAAACGAACATTGTAATCCGCGACTAGTAGATTGCAAGTCGAGCGCCCTAACCACCTGGCCATGAGAAATAAAAAGGAAATTATTTTCTCATAAATTAAAATATCCAACAACCATTACTAACACTTTTTAAATGTATTAAACACCGGCAATGATTAATTAAAGGAGAAAAAGTATCTGTGATAACTAAAACATCGGTTTATGTCAGTCAAAATATGGTTAAAAAATGGTAGTTGTGATAATAAAATGTTCTCAAAAACTCTAACTAAACAAACAGATTTCCTGAATTATATTGAGCAACCGTGTTTAAGAAAGTATATTAATGTGAAAAACAAATACAAAAAGTTGGTTACGTTACATTAACGATTTTAAAGCCTCACCATGTCAGTACAATCCATGCTGTCTCGTTCGTGTTGCTCTATCTGACGACTGTGCATCTTGACAAAAGTCTAGAAGCGTAGTTTCATTGCTAAAGACTCAGTCATAAGGTTGTCACGTCCAAAGCAAATCTCCCATCCCTGAACGCTTTCTCAGCGCTCGTTTTGACAGTCCGATCACAGAGAAATCTATAGGCGAGAACTTTGGAGCATGTGTTAGCGCGGATACCTGTTTTATTCTCCAGTTGCGTGAGGTGTGCTTTTGTGGAATTGGTAGATCGTGGAAGTAATTTTTGTTCATGTGACTTCTGCTGCTTTTACAAAAGAAGATCCTTTTTGATTATGCTACGTACTGTTGCCAGGGTCATGTGGACACCTTTTACCACTGTGTTTGTAGTTTCTCATTTGTTACAAGACTTTTTTCCACGGCTAGTGTACAACAGTTTTGCAGGATTCTTTCTGGGTTGTTCTAGTGCCTCAGGTCAATCAATGTTTCCTTGTTTGCCAATGTTGTTAAGTACAAGGAGTATTCTCGTCTTGGAAATTCTAAGTTTCCAACCTGAACACATCTTTATATCTGAGAGTATAGATATTCTACGACAGAAAGGAATCTTACGTACCCTTCTACAAAACGATCAATTTAAGTAGAAACGCACAAACTACGAAAAGTCAAACAGTGTGAACATATAGTTCTGATACATACCGTACTACCACGACCGCGGCTTTATAGTGGCCGTGATTGTCACGTGACTTGCTCTCAACCCTTTGTTTAAGTAGGTGGTGTTTAGTGATTGGTCAAAAGTTAATGGAATTGGCCGTAGAGATACAAATACAAGCCAAACGAGCTTACAATTCACCACTACAAGAAGTCCAGTCTTGTTTTTCGATTTGCCTTTGTCAAGAGCTACAGATTAGGGGTTGAATTCCTTTCAAACATATGTACTTCAGTGATGGATCTCAAAAATTGGACTCATGTTTTTTTGTTTTTTGTTCGTCGAATAATTTCCTAATTTTAGTAATGAGAAAACGAGTAAGTTCAACCTGTAATATCATATTAGAAGTTAATAGCACCATCTGTTCAAAAATAGTGTTACCGACTTTGATAAAACTAAGAAGTCTTAATTGTTTTTTCAAGTCAGAAGAGGTAAACAACAAGGTATTTATAGTTCATTCCCTTCAGATATTTACATCCGTAAACTATGTTTTACTGTATTTTGTATGTGTGGCAAAGTTAGTTACTCAGATTATCTGCCGCCGTCCTTAATTTTGAATTATTGACCATAGGTAGCCAGTCAGCTACCACCTTTAATTTACGATAAGGGATTAATTATCACTCTTGAAAATCACACAGTTTAAAGTACGGGTGGATATTTTGTCACATCGAACGGATTTGAACCTGACTCGTCAGAGATAAAAACAGAGCTTTATCACAGAGTCTGTTTTATTATGCAAAATTAATTTAGTATGTGTATCTTCATGATTTCTTTGTTTGTTTGTTTCTAATTAAGCACAAAGCTGCACAATGGGCTATCTGTGCTCTGCCCACCACTGGTATCGAAACCTGGTTTCTAGCGTTGTAAGTCCACAGACATACCGCTGTGCCACTGGGTATCTTCATAATAAATGGGCCAAGCGCAGCCAATAGTTGACGTGCCAGACGGTGGTTTGTTTGTTTGTAATTAAGCACAAAGCTTCACAATAGTCTATATGTGCTCTGCCCATGACGGGTATCGAAACCCGATTTCTAACGTTGTAAGTCCGCAGACATACCGGAGTGAGGGGGGCGGCGCCGGACGGTGAAGATGAATTACTTTGCTTCACATCCCTGGTGGTGTTGATTAGTTAGCTGCCTTCCCTCTAGTCTATCACTTCACAATTAGGGTTGACTAGCCCAGATAGGCTACCTGTAGCTTTGCGTGACGTCCAACAAACGAAAGAAGTAAACAAAACTTAACCACATATCCAGTGATCAACACACGATCAACAAGAGATGCATAGCTTGAAATTCAAATTCTAGAAGGAATATCACAAGAAAATAATGGAAAGGGAGCAACGCAATGAGGAAAATGCAAGAGTTTTAATTAATTTTTTCAACATTTAAGTATTAGTTATAATTAATCAAAATACTTTTGTATTATATGTATCTTTGTTTTAAGGGCATAAAAAATACACGCAACTTCTCATTGTGGAGCAAACTGACACGTGTCAATCTGCTCCAATTAAAATGTTTCATTATGCCACAAACTTCTATTTTGCTATAAAAGACTTATGTGTGTCGTCCCAGTCATATTTATCAAATAAAATTATGTATGATTGTATAGTCGAAAGATTGAATTTTCAAATAATTTGTAACTTAAATTCTCTCAAGAAAGTATTTAATATAATATAACAGTAGAAAATATTTACGTATGTGAAAATATCAATTTTTACTTCTGCACAAAAAAAGGGGTTTCCGATCACGATGAAACTATAACAGCAAATTACACGTGTGTGGATGTGTTAGTGGTCATAATGTCATGGCTACCAACTTCAGCATATGAAAATTATCAACATTGTGTCAATCTGTCCTGGTGGCCAACCAGCTTCTGTCTCCCTCTATACCCGTTAGCTGCTATTAAACAACATTGATGAATTTTGTA